GCCGCATGGGAGAAGTTCCAATTTGTATCGCGAATTCGCGGTTCCGCGTAATGGCATTCCGGGGCGTAGAGAAATCGCGGGCCGAGACTATTCTTCGTGCGGCGAGAGAGTACACGCCGAAATCCCTAATGGAAATTACAGTGGTCTCTAAGTGGCGCAAGGATATACTTACCGTGCCTCGTGAACTCCGTTAGCGCTTTTTAACCGAGTTTGACTTGTTCCGACTGTGCGAGACTGTGTGGGAAGCGTTTCGGTAATCAATGGTTCTGGCAGGTAGGCACCCTTTTAGTGGCTCTTGAAGAGCATAACCACAGTTTTCGGCTGTTTCGGCTAGGCAACCGTTCCTCCCCCCCCCTCCCTTCTCTCGTGCCGTTTCTCTTTCTTTATTTTCTCTCTCTCTCTCTTTCTCTCTCTGTGCCTCCCTCGCTCGCTTTCCGAGATGCGATTCTCTTGGAATCTACAGTATCCTTGTGGGAGAGTTTCACGATCAGCAGCGGAATATTGTGAGAGGATGAGGTTTCTAGGAAAACTAGAAACCTTATCCTCCAGCGTGGATGCTTCGATTCGCGCCGGTGATCAGCTTTTCTTTTCATCCCAATCTCTCGTGTACACAGCAGGTAAAAGAGTTACGCTTGTATAAACTTGGCGTATGTAGGCGCGATGCACGCGCGTTGCTATTTAAATGCGCTATCATCAGAATTGCATTCGCGCGGCCGAAGGTTTCTCCTAAAATGTCTCGTTTTCCGATGCGGCTAAAGGCAAATGGGGGCGACAACGCCGTGGAAAATCTCACGCTCCGTTCTCTCTATCCCTCTCTTCTTTCTTATCCCCGATCTTCCGCCGAGTTGCGGACAAGATCGATACCGACAAGAATGGTCCAAAGTAAACAAGAGTGCGACAAAGCGGAGTACGATATTAGACCCCTGTGCGAGTGGCGGAGAATACGTGTACAACATACGTGCGTGTTTCTGTACGTGTGTAGGCGGAAAGACGTGTGTGAACGAAACCAATGTACACACGGCACCTTGGCGTGTTTGAACAGAAGAGCACCGGGCTTCCAATTCAGATACGCGGCGATCCGTGATGAGGCAAATGTTTCGCCGGGCATTCCCTCCCTCGCCTACTTATTTTAAAAAAGAGTATATAGATCGGGAGCAAGACGTATTCGTCCTTTCGAGTAATCCCCGCGAGTGCAAAATTTGCCAAATAGGCAAGCATACATAATTTCACGGAATCATCTCGATACGTTTACGATGGTTCAACATAAACTTTATTAAATACTTTGGATAGGAAAAATTGACAATGAATAAGTTTAGTCGACCTTAACTACCACGTGTTTAATGAAATAAAAAAAAAATACAGTGCGACGTTTCGAGGGTTTAGGTCCTTCCCAAGCACATTTTAAAAGGAACAAACCGATAATCGGGATTACAGGCTTGTCGAAGATACAAATGAAATCAATAATACAAATTGAATTAATAGACAATCAAAATGTGTACCATAATAATATGTAAAATGAAGCAAGGTCACAAATAATGAGTACAATAAAAGATATGGTTTGTCACGGCGGATACATAATATAACAAATTGAAAATAAATCCTGGACCAGTCAATTACCTTAAAAATAATCAGGCCAATGTAATATGCAGTCAAATGATGAAAATTCAAAGGAGGTGAGTCATGATTATAAAATTGACAGGCACAAAGATAAAATATGTACGCTGTCTACAAAGGCCGGAGAACGACTGTCTTTCTTTAAGGGAAAATTAATGTAAAATTATCGTCGATCTATTGTTATGAATTGTTTCGAAATGATAGAAGGTAAAACAGTCCGTAAATGAAGTGATTGAAATATCCTTCGCGAGTATGTCAAAGTTTGCCGAGGGCCTTCACCCAATCAAATCGTAAATTTGGCACATATTCGCGCGTGCATGACTTCTTTTCTTTTCGGCCCTTCGTATCTTCGTCGGCTCGTTAGATCGACCTCCGACCTCTTTGAAGACCCGACCCCCGCCACGTTCTACGAAACGAGCAAAAGGTGCAAGACGAGCCCGAAGGGGGCGTACGATACGCCACGTCGTAAACATATTTTTATTAAATAATTAGAGATTAGAGCTCCCCTTAATGGGTGGTTAGCCCACTCGTGCCCTCCATTCCACACATTCCTTCGTGGCGTACGTGAGATTCCCACACTGCGTATCCCTTTAACTTCCTCGAGTTAAAGTACGCGCGGTATAAGGACTATCTATTTGACTTCGGAGCCCCTGCTTTTCTCGTTGTCATTCGATAATATTTTTTATGTTGCGTAATTAAATCACATCAATATTTTATTCTGCCGTATGTGATTCTCGTGAAAAATATGATGAGAATAAAATGGATATTGACGTCGTGAAAAATCGCAAACAGCGATTTAAGCTCGGACTGAAAACACAAAGGAAGAAACAATCACACTCTTGTTTGTAAATAGCTTTATTTATAAAATCTGACCGAGTTTCTACATATAGTGGGCGAATTGTAAATGAACGATAGCGCTTAGGCGGAGCGCACAATTACGTGTTTGCTAAACAAACGCGACGATAATTGCCCTGGCGCTAATAGTAACTGTAACGTAAACGGAATCAATTACTTGCACTGACTGATGACGATCGAAGGCACACAGGAGCAGCCTCGCAAGCTCTCGTAACTCCGCTTTGTTTCCTTTTTGCAAAAGGCGGACTGCTCGTTAAAAAGCGGGATATAGGGCAAAACACAGCGGCACTCTTTAAGACATTTACACGGCGAAGTTTTTAAAGCCCTCTAAAAATAACGCCACTGAAATTGTGGGTCAGGTGACGTATAAAAGAGTTCGCTCGAGGGTCACAGCGAACGATGCGACACAGACGCGTTCGCAAGAAGATGCAAAGAACACGTACACTCTGTCCCTCTCTTTTGCGCACGCGCGCGCTCAAACGGAGTGATCTTTTATTTAAATCCTTTCGGATCAAAGAAAAATTGCCGCCCACCGTGGTAATTGAAATAGCTCCACAAGCTTGTAGAATTAGAAGAGAAATAGGGCACCGGTTACGTTTACTCTCTAACGAATCCGAGCCTCGTACAAGGACGTCGTTTAACGCGAGAATCAACTTCCGAGCCGCTAAAGGTACGCGAGCTCCCTGGTTGCGTTTTCCGCCACGTCGCACAGAAAAGCTTTTTTGCAGCGTAGTCGATTGAAGTGCCAATTCTTGACATTATCCTTTTGTCCTATTGATATTATATCAATCAAAAGAAATTCTGTGAGGACTTTTTTGATGGATTCTAAATTTTGAATTCTCATATTTAATTATTTCCATTTAGTATTCTAAATTTCGCTGAAGCTTTAAATACAAAGTATTTTTAATGTTAAAATATTTGCTGATGCAGAATAAAATCTGAAAGTATCATAGTTTAAACTACATTTCTGTCAAAGATGTTCTCTAAACCACATAAAGACATAGGCAATTCATCAAATTCCTCAACTTTGTTAGTATAATTTAATTCAATTTATAATATAACCTAAATCATTGCTAAATGTAATCAGAATTATCGCTTCCAGCGTGCTAAATGGGATAATTTTGTGTAAACTGTATTCACAATTGGACCCGGCAAACTGCCCGACACTATGGAATTCATATCCTATATAGAATGTTTCGTACCTGACAAATGCTTATGCAATGCAGCTATTTAACACCTAACAGATATAGTGGTAAAAGATCCGCTTTACGTTAGTCAAAGAATTAGTGAGGATTAAGTGTAACGACAGCTTTGGGAAGAAGTGGAATGCTTGTTATCTTTAAATCCCAATACAAACTGAAAAATTTAAATAACAATTTGTAGAATCGAGAAATTGTAGGAGTGGGAGGTTTGCGACCCACGAAATAGAGGGTCGTCAAAATAGGATCCTCGCCAGACAGTTCGCTTTATCGGCATGCGATCGCGTCGTCCGAATCAGCAGAAACGTGTAATGACCCCACGGGATGGGAGGTTCGAATCGATGAGGAAACGCTCGGGATTCCGAGGCTGACGTGCGGACGTGCGTCCCAGGTGTTCGCCGTTAATTGATCGCAGGTTTAGGGTCCTAAACCCCTGCGTACCCGCGAGCGGCGGAATTAAGAGCGAGGACAGCAGCGGCGTTTGCCACGGGCACCGACGCAGGTACCAGCCACTCATTCAATTACGTTTCTGACACCTGGCACATCAATCTTGCCGCTCTCGGCGCTAACACGGCTGGATTTCGACGGCCGCGGCGGAAGTGAGTGCCGCGCGATCTTTCGGCACGTGGCTACGCGGTATCTACCTACAATATTTGGGCGCGATTCGCCCGGTTATTTCTCCTACCAGTATATCTGCGTAATCGTTCCGCGAGAAAAGTGTATTGTTTAGAATAACGTTTGAAAGAAAAAGGCGACGATAAGAGAAGGAGAATGCGCGAAATTTTTATTGGAGTTCTAATAAGTTTCTACGCGGTGTACTGGAGTGCAAGCTGCCGAATTCGCTATTGGATTCAGATATGCTTCACCTCGCATGTAAAGTGATTTTGACAGTTTGTGGAAAAATATACTTCAAAAAGGATAGAGGCTAAATAAAAAGTTACAGGAACAGAAGTTAAAGTTAAATATCTAATTGAGAGCGAAGGAGAATGACCCTGACAAAGTAAAATTTAATAAGAAAAATGAGAGACAGTGTGAAAGAATAACTAGAATGCATTGAAATCGTATCTGCCAATTTAGTAAGAATGGATGAAGATGAAAGGTGATATAAAAATATAATTATAATTTATAGTAATTATTAATTAAAAAAATGCTTTAACTATTATGTAACTTATCAAGAGAATGGAATAATGTAATCTAAAATATAAAGATAAGGATAAAATAAATGAGGATGTCGAATGACGCGCGTAATGTATTGTTCTAGTGTGTTTAGATTAACGATAGATAATTTGAAAGGAAGCTTTCACGAGAATGAAAAATGACTCGGAAAAATCATTAAATTTATATATCTGGCACTCTTTATATAATATTCTTTTTGATGTTTATAACATCTGTGCTTTACATGTACAATCACTAGTGGAAACAGCAGTAACACAATAATAGTAACAATAATAAGAATAACCTATGTTTACACGTTACATAATTTTACAATAAACTCGCCATTGTCGCACTATTCACACGCATGTCGATGTCGTGCAGATCTAAATAACACTATCAGGAGTTACACATGGTGAGAAGAAAAAACTTATCACGTCGAGATGTTCGTAGACTTCAGAAACTGGAATTTCGCGTTCCTCTTCGCTGGTTTCGAGTAGCCACCCAAGATATTTGTGATTCCAAATTCGGCTCTCTCTCTCTCTCTCTCTCTCTCTGGGGGAAGGAACGCCTTCATGGATTTCAAGGGAACATCTTTGAGAAGGACACCTTCGACGTTACACGGTTCATGAGCTCAGTAACTTTTTCGTCCCAGTGCTTCTCAAGGAACGGCAGGACTGAATGATACATGCTCGGCCAATATTCGTTCACGAATTTCATAGCAGCAGAATCTGAAAGTGAAATTTCGTGACGGTTGTGACAATACCATCATAAAGAATGTCGACGCATAAAAAGGCAAATTAGCCGGTTTCTCTGCATTATGTAACGAGGGATTGTGGAATAGGTATCAGAGTTTCCCATCGAATAATTAGCAAGAAATTGCTGAAGTGATATAACGAGTTAATTAAAGCTAATGAAACAGGCAATTACGACAGGGACGAACGAAAGAGTACAAGTCCCGCGCCTACTATTGTCATAACTCATGGCTTACGAAAAGAAATCAATTTTTATCGTTCATGAAAATATGGAAATATGAAAGTCAGGTAAACGCAAATGCATTCTTAGTCGAAGAACATTTTCAAGGAATTGTTTACTTACTAAGTTCCGCGTTACCATTGAACATGTCACTGAAATAGACGTTCAGCTTTCCAATTTCTGGATCTATATGGAAATGTTCAATCGTCCATCTATCGTTAGCTACGGGCCCTTCTGTTATCATTGTGGCTGTAATGTCTTCCGCGGTAATGTTGAAGTATCCTAATGAGATAGATAATCAAACATATTATATATCTTTTACATGAATATTTAAATCTTAATAACACGAATATATTTTAATACTGCCAGTATTGAAAGTAATACATTTGCGTACCGTCGCCGTGAATTTGCAACAGTCCGAAGGCTCCCTCTGCCTTGTAATTACCCTCGATAAATACTTTCGGCACATCGACGTCAACATCCACTCTAAAGTAAGTGTCGGAATATTGCGGTCTCACAGCCAAGAATCGAATGTTTGCAAGTCCATAGACTTTAGTATTTGTGATTGTTATGTCCGCATGCATGTCGTTACCTTCGTACAAGGCTCTTTCCTGTTCAATAAAATACGGATCCAAGGGTGGTACATCGAATTTTGGTATACCTTCCGAAAAAGATTAAATTACGTGATATATTTAAATAAATTAAATAATGACATATCTCTCTTTGTTTATGCATATTTAAGTAATAATAAACGTAATGCAAATTTGGCGATTTCAACTAATTTGAATAGAAGTATTATCAATGCTCCAATCTTAATACCTGGGATAAAGTTCTTCCATACATCTTGCATCGAATTTTTCATGCAACCCGCATAATCATCTGCATCATGTTTGCAGGTTGTTACAGCTGTGAAAAAGTATATAAATTATTAATAATAATGATAATTACAATTAATTATTTATTTTAACTGTTATTGTATTTACGGTAAAAAGTAACAGAGTTTAATCTTTCTATCAATTACTTAGATATTGTTCACTTCATTCATTATCTTTGATGATAATTTTTTTATTTTAATTTTACTAAGTATTTAACTAGAATATATTTGACATTATGAGTTATTGTAGTAAAATCCCTCTCGCGTAAACTAACATGGGAAATTCTACACGATTTGAATTTATTGTGGTTAATATTAACGTTTCCTTTCCTCGATAGTAAAACCACAGTTACAGAGTGCACCAATCAATATCAATTTTCGTAAAAAAACGTATTTGGTGTTTCGTCAAAAAAGAGAGAGATTGCTATTGAAATTAGCATAATTAGTGGTTAAGATGTGTAAAAAATGGTAAAAATATATGATTAACCGTTTAAACTTATGCAATTATTATCCGCTCAACCGTAAGCGTAAGTCTACGCACATGCAAACTTACATTCGGAATTACTGAGCCATTTAATTATAGGTATAAATAAATTCAGAATATTACAACACATACACACACACAAACAATCTCTGAGAGAAATAGAAGAAACTAAGTAGAAAAGAAAAACGTTTATATGGAAACATTTATCGTGGTTTTTCCAAGCAATGCAAAATTAAGTATTTATTATTGTCACTGTAAGTTGGTTAAAAATTAGAATAAGAAAATATTTGCAGATTCGAAAAATAAAGAAAGACCTGCCAAGGTTAAAAATAAATAAGTGTTGAGAATGGTAAATAATTTATTAAAAAATTAATGCAAATTATGCTGCATATGCTCAATATTCTTTATTTAAATAATCTATCAAAACGCTCGATTATAACATTTATCTTTTGTATACCAAAATTTTATCTTTACTGTGAAAACTATAAACTGGTTTACGGTGACGATCATAAATAACTTTACATCGTATCTTGGAAACAAAAGTATAAGCGAACCTATGCTTATATGTAGTTTTATTTTCATTTTGGATGCCTCTTTGTACGCTCGAACATACCGGCTATTAAAACATTATCTTATTCGCTCACACTTTAATCTGATTCACTTTGTGATAATGTACGATTCATTTTGTCAGTGCAATTTCTTGAAACCAGTTGTCAGTTGTGCATAGATAAAACGTAAGAAAGCGAAAGTAGTATCCGCGTCATAATTAATATATCAATAACACTCTGAAAATTGCGTTACTTATTTTATTTATACAGCTGGTATAGTATAACTTATAATTCATATAATTCATTATAATTTTTACCTTAACCATTGACTCACAAGAAAATAGTATAGGTCATAAACAATTTCATGTTACGATTCTATGGACAATAGCAACTTTTAAAAGTGACACCGCTAGTTACAATTCGTAATCTATTTGTAAGACGGCATATCACTGATTCATCGAGACTCGATTGAAGTATCACATGCAAATATTATTTAATTATGTGTATATTACATTAGCACTTCAACTATTCGGCAAATAGTTAAAATTGATATTGTTTCAAAGTTAATTAAAATTCTGCTGCTTTACTGCTCCTTGCTCCAGACAAGATTGAAACGAGGTAAACAGTAAATTTGAAGTTGTAGAAATAACCCTTAGATCAAACGAAGGGAATTGACGATTGAAGAAAGGACTTACGAAAGTCAAAATCCTCGTCAGCCGCAGCGAGCACAAACGCGGTAGCGCAGAATAGGGTGAGCGCGTAGAACGACATCCTGCCTGGTTAAAAATCCTGGCGGCTAGCCTGGCCAATTATAAACACTCGGTTTATATAGTTTCCCGACTCAAGGACTTGGCAAAGATACGTTGCAAAATTGCATGTCATTAAACGCGCGAGAGGCGAGGAGCAGCAGCGGCACTTGATCAGTGGCGGTAAACTTAAACGCGGCTGTGACAGCCACGTCCGGCAAGTAGTGGTGGAGACGAAGAGGATGACTGTCATGGACTTTAAGTCATATATTGCACTGATACGGAAAGATGGAGAATTTACAATATAATAGTTGAACAAAATTATAATCAATCTAAATAAAAGAGGTGAAAAAGAAAAAAGAAGAGAGTCACGACAAACAGAATTTTTTTTAAAGGATGGGAGAATTCTCTGACAAAAATTGCGTAACAGACTTTCATAAAGAAAGAGAAAAAAGAAGAATATATAATACTAGTGACGACGATCATCTTTTTGATCCACTCTATACTTCCGATTTTTTTTCTTTGTCGTGGCATTGGCATTTTAGGTTCGGTGCAAATAAGTTGCAGGACATTGTTGCACTTAGTAAAACCATTTAAGTTCCAAGAACTGCGTAGGAGCAAGGTTATTCCCCTTAACGTTATCGTTTCTGTTTGAATTTAAAATGAGATAAATGTATAGGGAAATTATAAATGGTGCACGCGTTAGCTCTCAGTCCTTTTTCACGAGGTGCCCCACCTCGTGCGACACTCGACAATCCTGGAATCTCCTCACAGAATGACACTCACGTTTAGTTTTAGTTTTAAGTACAATACAACGCGACTCATTTATGCTCACAGCGTGAGTACAATTGCTATTGATATTAGCAGCCTAACAATTAGTACTAATCTCTGTAATCTTTATACTCAGGACATTCTATTCATTATACAAAATTATAGATATTACTTGTATCCAGATATTGGACTTGTATATTATCTGTCGAATTCTTAAAATATTTTAGTAATGCCCTAAATATTGACACTTACAATTATTACGACTCTTCTAATCATACATTTTTATAAATAACTTGGGTGTTGAAAAATTAAATGAAATAATTTTTTTTCCAATAAGCTAAAATAAATTGAACTTATTTTTATCTATTTTTTAATTTTTTAATTTAAGTTTACTATATAGGTTTATTTTATCTTATATATATATATATATATATCATAACTTTTATAATTTTTTCATTTTTCCAAGGAGGAAAGCAAGTAGGTTTATTTAAACAAATTTATAGTTACGTGAAAAATTTATAATTATTAAAAAAAGAATTAATTATACTCTTGGTCATAAAGTATAAAGAAGAGAATTAAAAAAGATTATTCGCATTTTTAATTGATAGAACAAATTCAATAGATAATTACGGCATAATATCCTTGTAGTGAAGTTCTCTTGAATTAGCTGAGTTAAATATAGCTTCTTACTATTTGTGTTTCCTATTTCATTGTCATACGGAGTTGGCCAGGTTAATATTTAAGAGAAACGTAGGTTGCACTTACCAGTCTCTTCTAACAAGCATCTGGGTTGCAACAGTGTTACACGTGATACTTGGTATAATAAAACGTGTAGGTAATAAAGGAGTGCATCACAGATTAGCTAATGGCCAGTGTTTTAGATTTCCCAACTGCTCAGTGTTCCTCTCGTTGGCTTATACACAATAATAATGCATAATGAATAGCACGCGTCAGCAATTTTTCTCCGTAATTTAAGAAAAGCGACTACATCCGTGTACTTAATGAGATACAAAAATAGAATACAATTTATATACACATAGTTTGAAAGTTTAATTTTTACATTAATAACTTAAAATGAATTAATTAGTATATTACGTATACACAAATTAGTTAGTATTGTGTATACACAAAATTATGCATAAAAATATTTAAGTTACGTCGATGCCATTATTTTTATGTGTTATATACTTGATGTAGACCAATTTGAATAAGTAGTTGCATTTGTATATGCGATAAACAGTTGCCAATATTTTCCTTCGACATTTCTCTCATGTGACACAAATTGCACATAATAATCTGCATAAATGCACTCGCGCGGATCACTGAACGCGAGCGATAGTGTACTGAGTCCTTGTGGATATAAAAAAAGACATATAGTCCTTGCCAGTTAAAAAAAAAGACGCGCATAGCGAGAGAAACGATCGACGCGTCTTCTCTTGCCCCTGTCGCGTAAAGAACGGGTGCCTGTTTCTTTTGACAGTGTCGCTTTTTTATTTCTAAATTCTGAAAGAAAAATATTAAGGCATAAAATCGTAATTTAATTTTTAAAATTGATAGTCAGGAAGTGAATAAAGATAACCAGTAAATAACTTTATAACTGTTACTGATATACTTATACTAATAATTCGAAATTGGTGTTCATACTTAAAATAATAATTAGAAGCTTTGATTTTATTAAACATGCTACTAACAATAAGTATAATTAAAACACAATACGAACGAAATCTATCTTCTTATAATCGCATAATACTTTGATATTATATAACAAATTGGAGTGCACTAAGGCTTGATATTCGCAATATAAGTTTGTAATGTATGTGCGCGCGTGTGCGTAGGGGTATATGTATGTATTGATGTGATATACATATGTATATGTATGTATATATCACATCGATTATGTATGAAATGTACAATTAATTATGTTACATTACATTTAACACTTTGGCATGCAAACATGCGCAAGGGCACTCGAAGTTTACTAACGTTACAGTTCTACCGGCGAAATTTACAGTTCCAGAACACGTAAAGGATATTAGCTCAATGATAATCTTCTGAACGCCAAATTAATGTTCTAAACGTAATCCTCCGAATTTAGTAATTGCCCGTGTTTACGAACTGTATTATTATTGCTTTGAAATTGCAATAGCTGTGTCAGCTGCGTACCGAACTACAATGTATATACGCTGCCTGAGGGAACGACGGTGTGTACTGTTCCTTTGTTTAATCATTTCTGCTTTATTAGATATTACATCGTGGGCACACGTATACCAATGATTAAGCAGCCCGATGATCAGTAGACTCAAAGGTATGAAAACCTAGCCGCGCTCGATGTTTGTTCGTCGACGCCGATATTAATTTTAGATGCACAAATGGGACTATGAGTATTTGTGTGCGCGTGCAACAACTTTGCAATATAATAACGTCATTCGTTATGCGATACATTGTGATAACAATGCATATATTACCATGTAACAATATCAGAATTTAATAGGCTTTGTATATACTTTACGATGTAATTATAATTTTATAATATTCTACTTTTCTTTTTATTACAATCATAGATATGTATGTCTTTAATTTCGTGCGACACATATCGAATGCTTCACGTGAGAGCCTCACGTGAGAAAAACATTTAATGATAATTAATTAAAGTTACATGGTAATGATAATAAATCAAATTAAAATTTACATAAAAACAATTTAAACGACAGAGTTTTATAAATAAATGAACTGTTAAAATAATCATAATGAATTGTTAACATAAAAAATTTTATGCAAAGTTACGTAATTTATATGTCATTTATATCTATTAATATTAATGTAAATAATATTTTGGATGTATATATGTTTCATCGTACGTTAAATATTATTTTTTATTATTTGTGTTTAATTGTCTATACATTATTATATAGTTCAGTGTATTTTTGTAATTTTACTTATATCCTTTACACGCGTGTATAATAAAATACGAGTAATGTAGGGTAATAAAATAAAAAATATATTATTAATATAAATAGTAACATAATAAATGATAACATTAAAATAATATATATGCATACACGCATCAATCCTATAAAGTTGATACGTAAAAAAATTAGAATAGATTTACTCCTGATTCATTATAAATCAGATTTAGGTGTCAGAATTGAGTTAAAATCGAGTTCCGCGGTAGACGACTCGTTTTTACAACGACGCGAGCCATTTTCGCTCTAGAATAGATGGCCAATGAAAGACGCGACCAGGAAACGAGGTAGAAATGCAGATGCACCGAGCGAAGGGGTGAGTAAGAGGGCAGGAGAGACAGAGGGAGAATCATGTGGGGAATGCACCGCGATACACCATCGGCAGCAGTGGGCGAGCTCTCTCGCTTGCTCGCGCGGGAATTTCGCTAACCCGCGGGACACAAAGCGGAATGTAGTCACATCTGGCCCGCTCTCATGCGGCGGCGGATCTCGGTTTACGTTGGGCGCCGGTGCGAGGACGGAAAATCACGATTGCCGGGTAGCCAGAGAGAGGAGACGCTATGAACAGGAAAAAGAGAGACAGAGAGAGAGAGAACAGAGGAAGCGAGAGGGATCGAGAGTGGTTTGAGGGGCGAGAGGGAGAGAATGGATAATGATCCAGCCGACATTAGTAGCAACCACCCTACTGAAGAGCATATCCAACGAAAAGCGAGAGAGAGAGAGAGAGAGAGAGAGAGGGGGGGGGGAGAGGAACAGAGAAAAAGGGGATATGTAGGGAGAAAGAGACGAGGGAGCGAGCGAGTGAAGCCGAGAGAGGAAAAGGGACATCGCGGTGAACGAAGGGGTGAAAGAACGTCGGCGCACCGCATGCATATTGAAGCGTCATTTCATGGTCACCGCAGACTGAAAGTCCCCACTTGAGGGTGAGCTCGCTGGCCATGCCGGTAACGACGCGTATCAGCACGCGTTCGTGTGGAACGTTCAAACGATTTGGCGTTTGACGAGCCGAGCAGCCGAGAGAAAAGGCGAGAGAGCATCGCCATCTTTTGTATCCCGCCACTCTTAATTAGAACGGTTATGTAATTTTTTATGTGTTCCAAGTGTCCGTAATTGCAGGTAGAAACAGGAACAAACGTTTCCAATAAATATAAAACTAGGCGTGGACGCACATAATATCGGGAACATTGTAATTGAAAATGTTAGTTGGATTGCTTTGTTGTGTACATTTACTTTATGGAAAAACTGATGTTTATTTACAAATAATTATGAAACAGTTATGAATAAATAGCTAGATTTGAAATATTTATCGCTATTTTTTTAAGATCGTACGTTCATAAAGATATCATTTA